TTCTTTCCTGGTGGAGGAGTTACAAGATCCCATGTCTCATTTTTTGCCAAAGCTCTCATCTCCTCAACCATTGCAGTCTTCCATTTTGAATCCTGAATCCTGTAATGCCTCTTGCCAATCCTGCGGTATAAAAACAGAAGAAACAGACAAAACAAAGGCTCTATAGGAAGGGGACAGAGCATTGTAGGAAATGAAATGGGAGATGGGATGTTTAGTGCATGTTCTAACTCCTTTTCTAAGAGCAATAGGGATATTAAGGTCATTGTCAGAAGAACTGGAATCAAGATTAGAATCAGAATCAACAGAAATTAAAGAAGACTCACCAAGTTCTTGCTCTTCTATATCTTCAGGGACTGAAATTGGAGAGGACGGTTGATCAGAAGTCTCATGCTCCATGGTTGTATCTGTATTAGTCCGTCGTGTGTAGGTTTTCAAATCAGGTCTATCCAATCTTCCTAGAGATTTGGGTGGTTGCTCTCTCGATTACTATCTTATGTCACAGGAATTCCCCCTGGAAAGAAAATGTCATCCATCACCTTCTTCATCTGAATCTCCCCTGAAGAGGTGACTTGGGAAGAAAATGAAGGATCTAAACTCTCCGAAAGTAACATCCATACTCACAAAGTATTTCACTGAAAAGACGGATGTAACACTTGTATCCTTTTGGAGTAGTAGAGTAACCAACAAACACACACTGTCAAGGCTCTAAGATCTTAATTTTGGCTATAGCCATTTCTAAATGAACAAGCAAAAACACATCCAAAGACTTTAGGAGGTACAATATACAGAAGTTTTTTCCTTGAAGAACCTCTAATGGAGTTTTAAAATTCAAAGTAACGAAGAGGATACGATTTGATAAGGTAAGCACAGTTCAGAAACAGCATCCCCCCAAACCCCAATATGGTTTGGGAAGATTTATAGTGAACATAAGGGACCTAGCTACTTCCAGTAAATGCCTATTTTTCCTTTCTGCTACTCCATTTTGAGCACTAGTATGGACACAACTAGTCTGATGGATAATACCATTAGAATCTAAATAGGTACGAAAATCTGCATTCATGTATTCAGTACCATTATCAGTTCTTAGGACTTTAACATGAGCATCAAACTGAGTACAAATCATTTTATGGAAATTCTGAAAACACGAAAAAACTTCATTTTTTGTTTTCATCAAATAAACCCAAGTCAATCTAGTTAATCAATAAAGGTCACAAACATCATATAACCAGAAAGGAGAGACAGTTTTAGTAGGAAGGACCCCAAACATCAGAATGAATAGTAGCAAAAGGAATCAAATTTTTATTATTAATCGGAGAATAAGAATGCCTGGTGTGTTTGGAAAGTTCACAAGCATCACATGCTAATGAATTAAAATCACATTTAGCAGACAAAGTGGGAAATAAACGTCCTAAAACAGAAAAAGAAGGATGTCCCAATCTCCTATGCCATTGAATAATTTCATCGGAAGGATTTCTAGAAGTTCCTAACAAAGCTTGACTGGTACCCGAATTTGAAAAACTACAAACGTCATCCAACAGATACAGTCCATCGCGCATGCTACCACTACCAATCATTCTCCCCGTGTTCAGTTCCTGAAATATACAATGAGTCGGGTAAAAAGTTACTTTGCAATTAAGTGCTTTTGTGATTAAGCTGACAGATAATAACAGTATTATAGGGAAATCTGGGACATGAAGAACATGGGAGGAGTTTAATATGTGAAGTAAGAGTCAATAGAACTTGTGCCAGCAATTGTACTAAGGAGGCCATCCGCTAAATGCGAATTTTGTCTGTGCCTCATATTAGAAATGTGAGAAAGTTTTATAGAGCCTGTGATGTTTATTTGCTCCTGAATCTTATAACGCCAAGAGGGTTTTGCAATTTTTGCAAGAAAGGGAAGAAAAGCATTACCTAATTAAGGTGAGGATGAATCAAGCTGTGATAATAATCATTTTCAGGGGACTGAATCCCTTATCAGAAGAAGCTTCCAGCAGTAGGATGGTTCCTCAGATTAAAGCATCCACTATCAGATATGTTGCCTAGTGGTTCTGAAGAATTAACCCGGCTTTCCTCCACCCCTTTAGTTGGGCGTCCATGTAATTTCCAGCAGAACTCTTGGTGTGCCTTGTCTTACCGCAATAGTCACCCAAAATAATTGATCTCTATCTGAAAAACTATTCTTTGCAGCGCCTGGATATGTTCTCTTGCAGAAATTAGCAATCAACCCTGCTTTGTTCATGTATCTGTGAACCATAGCGGTCCTCCTAGTCTCCTCTTGCTGTACAGAATTTGGAGTATGCTTGTCTAAAGGGATGAAACGGGGAATCTCGTCCCAAAGAACTTGGACTCGAAATCTGATCATTACTCCTATGTAGCCAGCCAGAAAAATATACACACGTTTCTACTTCATCAACTCTGACTTGAGAGTCACATCATCAGTACATCTTGGCTTGAAAGTCTTGATAATTTATCTAGTCCTGCCAATTAAACCACACAAGTTCCGCAAAAAATTAACTGACGATGGTCAGATCTCCCTGTTGGTTATCATGAACTTCTGTCGCAATTCTACCTTCTGAGCATAGGTTTCCAGTGTGTGAATAGTCTGTGAAGCAGCATCCCATAATCTTCTTAGCTGTATCAAGACAGCAAATATCGCTCGGGGAAATAGTTGGCTGCATAGGAATTTATTAACCAAGACCATAATAAGAGGAATTCTCGGATTATCCACTTTGTTAAAACCCGGATCTGTCGAAACTGGCGGATCTGTCGAAACTGGTTTAGTCGCTCCACCATCAAGGTATCCTTGCAAACCTCTTGCTTCAATAAATAATAAACAAGACCGAGACCAAGCCAGGAAGTTCGTTCCATCTAACTTCACTGGACTAATCTAAAGTGAGGGACTCTCTGAGTGAAAACTTATATCCACCTTCTTTCCGTCACCCATACTGGCAGATTAAAAAAAATTCAAACAGAAGTGTGAAGAACCAACAGTGGTAGAAAAACACTGAAAAAACAGAAAAAAAATTCCAAACGCAAAAACTTGTGCTGAAGAACAGTAGGGGAAAAATCGCCACAACAAGTCGAGCTCGTCGGAACAAGAAACGTCGACGGAGCTCGCCAGAAACAGCCGCACGCGCCGGCGCGTGAAGAACAGCCGAAATCTTCTGGAGGCGCATGTGCACACGCGCTTGATCGGACGGCGACGCGGCTTGGACGGAGGGCCGATCGGCTGTCAGAATTAATTTGCAATTTTCAAAGTGATAAAATATTATTATGTTCATTGTATCTTTGAATTTTCTAGATTTATCTGTCTTTTTGCATTTTCTAGACTTTGTAAATTGAAAAGCCATTATCTAGATTCATCATAAGATCACTATAAATAGGAAGCTAAGATTAGAGATTGATCAATCAATTAGAGTCAAAAATTCAGATTATAAAAAAGAGCAGCAGCTCCAAAGAGATTGTAAGTTTTAGTGAGTTTCTCTTCAATAAAATAAGCTTCCATTTTCAGCAAATAAAGTCTCTAATTATTTCTGCAGTATTTTCACTCTTAATGTCTCTTCCTCGATATTTTTGTTGCCCTAACAATTCACCTTAAGTTGTTATTTTTGTTAGTTTTTATTACAATTTTAGTCCTAGTTTTACCATATGTCAAAAATATAAATAAAATTGTGATCTTATTGTTAATTATTAATTGGAATATGCAAAGGTGAAATTTGATTCATTGATTTTATAATTTAGCATGTCAAATTATAAACCATTATTGATGACATGATTGAACCATTAACATTATTGATGACATGATTGAACCAAGATACAAAATTAAGAAATAAAACTTAATTTCCTCCCTGAACTTGGAAGCAAAATTCAATTTTTGACCAAAATTCAATTTTTTACACAATTTACCCCCTAAACTTGGGAGCAATATTTAATTTGACCAAAATTTCACTTTGTATACAATTTACCCCCTAAACTTGCAACAAAGAACAAAAAGCCCAATTTTTTACTTACACTAAACTTTATTTCTAAAATTGAGCTTCCAAGTTCAAGGGATAATTTGAAAATTTGATATTTGAAAGAATAATATAGCAATAGTCCTTTATTTTAATTTTGTTTTGATGTTAATTAAATTATGATTGACGGAGATGTCAAAGCATATGCAGATATAGTGTAATAATAAACACATATATAACCTTAGAATAAATCTAGGTTTGAATGCCAATGAGCAATGCTAAAAAACGTAAAAAATTACTATCTTCATTTCATTACATGTACCGTTTAAGGTTTTTGCGCACCAATTAAAAAGTATTGAACAGTATCAATATTTTAGCAAAAAAATAGTTATAATTAACAAAATTACCCTTTATCATTTTCTAAATAATTAATGCGTACATAGTGGAGAAACAAAAACGACAAGTATAAAATTGAAAACAAATTAATTAGTACTTCCTTGATAGTCTAAAATAATACAAAAAGGACAAGTATAAAATTGAAAACAAATTAATTAGTACTTCCTTGATAGTCTAAAATAATAATTATAGTGGAACAAAAAAAATTAACCTCAAAATACGCTTATAGTAAGAAGGGAGCAAATCTATATCTAGAATTATTTTATCTTATATTGGGATTGGAATAGAAATAAATTCTATAAAATTTTGTGGAGTTTGATTGAATTTTAAATTTTTAAATTTTGTGGGTAGTTTTGTCAAATAATAAAATTTGCTCTGACATGTAGAATTAATCTTAAATATATATCATACATAAATGACATGGAATTCAATTAGATTCAAATTTCAAATTTCAAATTTCAAATTCATTACAACAAACATGAAAAATTCATACATCAAATGGATTCTAAATTTTAAAAAAATGGTTTATACCAAAGTTTGTTTATCTTGTTTGCTAAGAGTCATGCCCTTTCTTTTTCATCCAAAACAAAAGAATTTAAAGGTAAATGCAATTAAATCATGAAAACATGGCTTGAATAAAAATGAACTAACCTGAAAGTCTTTATTAGGGTTTCCACCAATGTAAACTTTTCCATCAGACCATTTGGAGCTTCCATTTTCATCATACTCTACTGCTATGTAGTCGACAACCATTCCACAATGTAAGAACATTTGTCTAACAGTGGTGTGGACTCCATGGTCCCATGAATTCTCAGACTCACCTCCGAATGGCCCAACAATCACAGCCTTCTTCATCAAGTTTAATCCACATATACGAGATGAACATATGAGGAGACTCTATACTCAACTTGAGAGATGCATTTACCACAAAGCTATAAATCTGCAGCTGCACTTATATAGTTATATAGCCATAACAGGTTCCAACAAGGATGAGCTCCAAAGGAGTAAGCAGAGGAAAGCCAAGTAGCGAACAGGACAGCCTAGTCTTGATTTGCTTATTATTGATTAACTGCAAAATATCAGAGATATGAACTTAGGATGGTGTTTGATAGGGGATGGTGTTTGATAGGGTATGTAGTGAGGTGGTGAAGAAAAGGTAAAGTAGTGACAGAACTCAGAAGAGGATGCAATTATAGCTAGGGGAGGTGGCAACTTAGGCAAAGTAAAACCATTTAATGTACAATAAATTTAGTCCTCAGGTACAGTTGAAGGTTTACTAACTTCTTTGGCGCATTATGAGAGGTGAAGTCCCATCTGTTTAAATAGGTCACGTTGAGCCTAACCATGAACAGGTGTATTTATAATTTAAAAAGATAAAGTATTCATAAAAGGAAAAAATTATAAAATTCCAACTATTGGTCTAAAATCAGATTTTACTTCAGAAGCTGCTACATATATAGACAGGAAGACTATGTGCTCAAGATGAGAAGATGAATTTACCACTAAGATATAAATTTACAAAGTTTTAACAATTTGAAGGAATTAATCTTAGTGTTGCAATGTTTTTAAAATTAAATCTTATTATTCAAACAAGTAGAAAATTCTCCCTTTCTTTTCATAACCCCTTGGTTTCTCGAGCCGACAGCGCATGTTTTATTTACTGCACGAAGCCGACAGCCCGCATGTTTTATTTACTGGCATATGAAAGTTGGGGTCAAGCCGAAGCGCGATGTTTTATTTACTGCATTTATGAAGTGGGGTCACGCAAGCGGTCAGTTGGGTGGATAAAAATATAAACGAAATATTTTAAATCAGAGGGAAGAATCGAGAATTCATTATTTACAATCTAATCGATGTATAATTCTACTTAAATCGAATAATCGAGACTAAACATTAAAATTGTAATTTACAATGGCAGGTAAATCAATTAATTGATCTAGTCCTAAAGTATGAGTCTAGATTGAAATCTAAACCGGATAATTGTTAATACTTAAATAATTCAATAGATAACTACTATTTATATAATATTATGTAAAAAAATTTCATATCTTTGACATATTGTAAAATTAAGTCAATTTTGATTTAATCGCTCGAATAAAATTCATATCTTTTGACATATTGTTAAAATTAAGTCAATTGATTTAATCGTCGAATAAAGTGTTTCTACTATTTTCATATTAAGTCTAATCAACAAGCTCATATTTCTACAAATGAAACTCATCCACAAATGTTTACTAGGTGGACCTGCTTCTGTTGTGTTCTCTTGCTATTACTCCTTCAATCTGTTAAATTTAACAGTTTTTTATTTTTTTTATTCTATTTAGATGACACTTTTAGAAAATCAAATAGCCCTAATTATTTTGTTCCAACTTTATCTTTGTCTTTATATTTGCACTAAATTTATCTCAATTAAATGAGCATTTATTAAAAATTAATTAAGTAAATTACTTTTATTTGAGGTAGTTCAATCATTTTATTAAGGAAAAATAATTTATCGTCCTTGAGATTTTACGTTTTTCTATATGAATTATTTAGTCTCAAGATCTAGTTCCGTCGTATTAAATGATCATTCCATTTAATTTTAGCAATTTTTAATATTAAATGCCTCATAAAAGATTAAAATACCCTTTAATAAAACAAATATCGGAACAAAAGTTAAACCCAATTATCTCTCTCATTCTCCTTCGTCTCTCAAACCTTGACTCTGCAACTACCATCTGGGTTTGAAAGTGCATCTTGTAAACCCATTTTTGTTAAGTTTGAAAGTGCATCTTGTAAACCCATTTTTGTTAAGCCCCACTATAATAAAATCTCTCACACCATCAATCAATTGCCATTATCTCCATTTTTTTTTATTCAAGAAGCAATCAATTGCCATTATCTCCATTTTTTTTATTCAAGAAGAATTAAACCCACAAAACCCAAGACATGACTTCAAACAATTTCGTTAAATACCCAACAAAAATAACTTGGTATACATACACACACACGCTTAGGTTGGGCAGATTTAGGCAACAACATTGCTTTGAACACTCTTTTTGCAGCTGAAACTGTGTATTAGATGTTTCAGATTCAGGCTAAAAAATCATCAACGGGTCTTGATTAACATTGAAGACTTCATCCGCTCGGTCGCCATTAAACGAAAACAGCGATAAACCAATCAGATCTAAAATGCTTTGTACTTGAGTTTCAATATTATGGGATTTTGGTCGCATGTGAGTTTGTAGATTTTGAAGCTGGAATGCGAGTTTCCATTTGCTTGTGGTTTAAGATTTTTGTTCGGTGATTGATGAAGATGGGGGTCAAGGGTGAAGAAAATATCAAACGGATGTGATTGAAATCCATCTCCTTTATCAGGTTCGAGAAGTGGATTTTTTTTTTTGTTTGGATTATTAGATTTCAGATGAAATTTCATATTGAATATTATTTGATATCTGGGTTGTTCGAGAAGTGGATTTTTTTTTTGTTTGGATTATTAGATTTCAGATGAAGTTTCATATTGAATATTATTTGATATCTGGGTTTCTTTGATAATTAGAAGCCTAATTTTGTTAATCTTGATTGGTTTCTGAATGATAAGGGAGAAGGTAGGTTTCTCAATTGTAAGGGAGAAGGTTTAGGGTTTAGGGTTTCTGAATGATAGGGGCGATTGTCTCAAATGTATGGTATTGGGTAGAGAGATTTAAAGGCGATTGTCTCTTTTATTGGTAGCAATGGTTATAGTGGTGGCTGCAACCATTTGTGGTTGGCAATGAACGCTATGAAATGGTTTCTTAGACATGGCCATTCTGGATTTTAGTGAGGGTACTATTTGTCATTTTAAAAAAACTCTCTCCTCTCTTACTTTTTAGCGTAATTTAACGGAAAAAATAGTTATTTTTGGATAGCAGAACCATTTAATGTGACACAATTAAATCTCAGAAATTAGATATCTAATATATAAAAATGTAAGGATGAGATAGTTAATTTTGTAAAATTTCAGGGACGAAATAATAATTTTCCCCATAAATAAACTTTGCTTATTTTCTTATTAATTTTGTAAAAACTTTTCTTTTCTTCATCTATAAACTATAATTTTATTTCTTGATTGTCCCCATGTTTCATTTCGCCACTTAAAAATACATGAACTTTTATTTGAGTAACAAAAAAAGTCTATTAACCAGTTTTCCTATAATATTTCAGTTAAAAGCTTACTAGAATTATTTTTTTGGCAAAGTGATAAAAAATGCCATATCATATTCTTTTTCTTTCCTCTTTTCTTTCCTCCTCTGACTCAAAAGCAACATCCTCTCTTGCCTTAAATTGCTGCTACCTTAAATCCCAAAAAAAAATCGAGATTTACAGCAGTAAGAACACTCTCTTTCCTAGTTGAACAAATAATGCAATCTATTTTCTTTATTTTTTAAACAATTGTTCTTGATTTATAGTTTTTTATTTTATTTTTCTTTTTTTATTGATTATATCAAAATTGGTAAACTGAAATCTAAAAAAATTTTAATCTGAATCTCCTTTTTTATATGATCTAAAAAAATTTTAATCTGAATCTCCTTTTTTATCATGACCTATTCAAAAATTAAAATTTAAAATTAAAAAGAGAAAAAATATTACCTTCATGGCAAAGAAGAATCTGAGCTTTCAAAAGTCAAACAATGCAATTAGAATTGACCAATAAAAAAATAGTACTCTTAACATACCAAAGAAAAGGCTAAAGTGGAGAAGATTAAGATCTTTAGCTAAGAGCACTCGTCTCGTTAGTTCGCTTTTCGGAGCCGGGCTATGTGGGACTAGCTTTGGAAAAGGAGCATCGCTTAAGCTATTCATACGATGCTTTGCAGTAACCCTTTGGACAGCTGGATTGTGTTGGATCCAATATCAAAATAACCGAGATCGGAATAAGATAATTATAATAAAGAAATTATTTCAACCATGGGAATTTACTTTAAAACAGTTAAAAAAATATTATAATTAAGAAATTATTTTAACCAGGAATCTGTAACAGTTTTAAAGCGGATAAATTGCATTGAAAAGGGACAAGTTTTTAAATTGTTTAGAAGGATACTCTGTTTTGGGAGATTCTTCGAACTCTCGATCTACGCAGTTGTAAACCACAAGCTGTCAAGGTGTATCGACGTTCTAGTATATCCACATTGAATGGATAATCGAAAAACTCTAAAACTATTTAGAGGTTTTTGAGAAAGATTAAGAGAGTTTTGATAGTGCTAGCTATCTTCACTCTCATGTTTACTTTTATCCAGAACAACGTGTTATTTAAACTGTTCATTTTAAACTTATTATCATCGCAAACATCTTCTGACTCCTCAAATTAAATATATAATTATTATTAAACCTATACATAAAATAAAATTATAACTAAAATAATGGCCTATTATAATTAACAAACTTTAAAACCTAGAACAACATAATACATATAGTTAATAGGACCTTTTCAATTTAATCACATTATGTTTATTTATTTAACTATTTAAAAAGTTCAATTCATAACTTTAAAATTTATTAGGCTTTACTTTAATCTAAAATTAGGTTTATTTAATCTAAAATTTATTAGACATAAATCAATTAAGTCAATACTTAATAATTTAGGTAAAGTTGTAATTAAATATAAATTACAATTTTGCCCTTATTGTCCCAAAACTTATTTGTAATCAAATCATACATGATTCGATTTCTAGTTTTCGTTTTCCCATATCCATTCTCATGTGTATAACCTTACTAGGTTCCAAATATATTGAAGATAAATATAAATATAATTAATTAATTAATATTTGAATGTCAAGTACATTATTTAATAATGTGTCTTGACTACCCAAATATTTGAAAAGTCAAAGAGGTTTGACTTAATTTTTCGATGCATGATTTATCAATGTAATTAGTATCCCTTCATCATTAATATTCTGATTTAGTAGTTAGGCATGAAGTGTGTCTGCTTTGTTAAATCATGTTAGTTCTCTTAATCTTAACCATTGATAATTTTGAATGAAATTTCAATTCTAATTTGCTAATTCCATTCTACCTTGCGCAAGGATTTCTTAATCAATAATAATAGAGAACAATTAGAACAATTTATACATCATACAATTGATCATTTATACTT